AGAGAGTTGAAGTCTAGCGAAGCTGGCTGGGGAATTCTGGGAGTTGGAGTCCTCCGGGCTTAAAAGTTGCCAAGGTTGGAGACCCCTGGCCTGTAGTCCACATTTAACTGGTTTATTAATTCAGCTTGTTGAGCATTATTTTTTTCCCCCTTGACCAAAATCAAGATATATTACATCTACCGCATTCCCACCATCTGTTTAATTCTCTTCCCGATTTGAGGGGGAATTCTGAGAGTGGGTCCTTAAAGCGGTTGAGATTAAGAAAGGCTGTGATAAGAGACCAGTGAACTCCAAAATCCAGTCTTCCCAGTGTTTCCTGATGTCACCACATCGTTGTCTCTCCTTTTCGCCATAGGTCCGAGGCAGCACGATGGCTTCGGGGGTGGAGCTCACAGACAGCAGCCATTCTAGTTCCCTTCTGATCCAGCTGAACGAGCAGCGGCTACGCGGACAGTTCTGTGACATCACCATCATCGCCGAAGACACTAAGTTCAAGGCCCACAAAAACATCCTCGCGGCCTCCAGCCCCTACTTCAAGGAGGTCCTCTCCGAGGAATCGGCGTCTCGCCAGCCGCGCCAGATCCTGGAGCTTCCCGACATCCAGGCGAAAATCTTCTCGGACATCTTGAACTTCATTTATAACTCTCGGCTCTCGGTGCCCAGTCCGGCCATTGCCAAGGAGATTGGGGTGGTAGGCCGACGGTTGGGCATCTCCCGCTTGGAGAACCTGGATGATCCCCTGGCGGAGGTTAAGATGGACAGCCCCAGCATGGCCTCCCCTCGAGGGTGTGGCTCCCCCATTGACCTCACCTGCCCCTCCCGTTCTTCAGAACCCACTAGCCCTGTTTGCTTGCAGGATTTGACCAAAGTGTACAGCCCCAGGCAGGAGCCTCGCCCTGACTCTGAAACCGAAACGGCCAAGATCCTCTACAATCTGAGCTCCGTTACGGCCGTACCGCCGCCTACTGCCTCCGATCTGACCTTCGTGCTGAAGGAAAACATCGATTGGGACCACAACCTCTCCGGGACTCCTCCTGCAGCTTCTGTCAACCCAAACGATGGGGTGCCAGCGTCCGCCTCTTCTTCCTCCCCCTCGTCCCCCTCCGGGGCTTCCTACCCAGCCAGCAGCACCTTCTGCTGCGGGAGCTGCAACCGGTCCTTTGCGACATCCTCAGCCCTCAGCCTCCACGCGAAGCTCCACCGGACGCGGCGTTCACTCTCCTGCCGCCACTGCGGCAAAAGTTTCATCCACATCAAGCGGCTGCAGACACACGAAGTCTTGTGCAAGGAGGGGGAGAAACCCAAAGAGGGGGACCCCACCAACAAGGCGCCCACCAGCCCAGAGTTACCTTCCAAGCCAACAGTAGCAGCGTCCTCTTCCAAAAAGGCGATGCTTTTCCGCCATCGGGGCCCGCCACGCGTGGATTATCTCTCCGACCAAGACCACTTCGTCAAAGTTGTAGACGGGCACATCATCTACTTCTGCACCGTCTGTGAGCGGTCCTACATGACCCTCTCCAGTCTCAAGCGTCACTCCAATGTCCATTCCTGGCGCCGGAAATACCCGTGCCGTTACTGCGACAAAGTGTTCGCCTTGGCCGAGTACCGCACCAAGCACGAAGTGTGGCACACCGGGGAACGTCGCTACCAGTGCATCTTCTGCTGGGAGACCTTTGTGACTTACTACAACCTGAAGACTCATCAGAAAGCCTTCCACGGGATCAATCCTGGCCTCATCTCCTCAGAGAAGACCCCTAACGGGGGTTACAAGCCTAAACTGAATGCGTTGAAACTCTACCGCCTGTTGCCCATGCGCTCCCAGAAGAGGCCGTATAAAACGTACAGCCAGGTGGTGGCATCCGAGGACCTTCTGCACCCAACGCGTGCCGTCCCCATGACCCTGGGGGAGAGTGGTCCCTTGGACGGAAACTTGGTCTCCTCCTTGAGCGCCAGTGACGTGGCTTCCGTCTTCCCCACCATGAATGCCTCTTTAGAATTGCCTGAGGCCGAATGCACCCACCAGCAGGAAACCACAAGCACCGAGGACACGTCCGTCTTTCCAACTCCCAGTGAGGAGGGCCAGCTGGACAAGCCGGCCCGGTCTTTGAGCACAGAGGCACCCACCGTCATCGCCTATGGGCACCCCACTTCTTCTGTGATCGTTCATAGCACCTCGGTGAAAGCCCAGGCTCCTTCCGTGATCACGTACAACAGCACATCATCCAGCGCTCTGTTGAATGCGGGGACTCCACCGTCGCTGTCCCAGTCGGAGTCCCCTTCTCCAGCTATAACCAAACCCATTAAGAAGCAGGTCCTGAGGGAATACATCCAGTCCCAGAAGATGGAGGAGCAGGCTTCGGAAGAGGACGGCAGTGAGCAGGGGTTCAAAGCGAGGGGACCGCGGAGTGGGCGCACCATGACTTACATGGCTAAACCGGCCTGTGTGGGAGCCACCTCCGAAAGCCGAGCAGCTCCACTCTGCCAGATCACAGTCCGCATCGGCGAGGAAGCCATCGTCAAGCGGCGGATCTCTGAAACCGACCTCATGCTCGACAAAAGCAGCCGGGTGGGAGGAAGGCGCCTGGATTTCAGCCATGATCTGAGCAGTGAGAAACCGCATCACTCCCTCCTGCCTCCGACGCTCCATGGCAAGCGGGCCGAGAGGGTGTTTGCGAACGAGAGCGGTGAGGAGGACAGCGACCGCGGAGACACAGAAGACCAACTCTGGCGCCCCTACTACAGCTACAAACCCAAACGGAAGCCCGGCAGCAGCGGCAGCAGCAAAGCCCTGCCGAAGGTGAAGAAGTCGCGGTGGCGGCACAAGCTGCGTTCCCTGCACTGGATGAAGCGGTCAGAGGAAAGCAAGGAGGGAAGCCGAGCGGGACCCCACCGTCCGGGCTCTGCCGAGGTATCCGGGGGACAGGGCGCTGCCTCCGACCGGGATGAGATGGACCAGCCGATCAAAGTGGGGGGTGGGCGGGGCACTGAATGGAAGCACGAGTGTGGCATTTGCGGCAAACTCTTCTCGGCCCTCAAGAAACTGAAGAAGCACGAACGGGTCCACGCCCGCCTTGCCAAGGACAGCCAGGCCCTGGCGGTTTTGACAGCCACCCCTCACCGGGTGGGCCGCAAGCCTCTGGTGAAGTTTGCCTGTGCCCACTGCACAAAGGTCTGCAAGACCGCGGCGGCCCTGAGCCGCCACATGAAACGGCATGAAGGCCAAGAGGAGGTCCCCCTGCCGGTGCTTACCACGGTCATTGCTTACTCCAAGAAGCCCACCGAGGTGCCCATGCCCACCCCTCCCCCGGTGGTCAAGGAAGAGACCACTCAGGAGATGCAGGTGTCGTCTTCCAGCGGGGAGGCGCCCGGAGGCCAGCCAGAGGTGCCCGAGGAGGGCTGTGCAGAAACAGTGCCGTACAGCGGGCACACCCCTCGGCCCGAAGATGAAAACCTGTCGCCGCCAGGGGCCGTCAAGTCCCCTTTTCACGAGGAGCCGCCCACCTGCTCGCCACTGCTACAGGCCACCACGACCACCACTAGCCTCGCCGACCTGCCGCCAGATCTGCCCCACTCTCTTCAAGACCCCATCATCTCTCACACTGGCCCGGTCCAGAAAGAGATCCTGGCATCCCAGGAGATGGAAGGCGACCGATACCCGGTCCAGGAGTACCCCTTGCCCCTGCTGGTGCCCGGGAGTTGCCGGAGCAGAAAGGAGGTGGAAGACAAGGCCTCATTCCTGGCTTATCCCAGCGCCATTCAGTTCAACACCGTCAGCAAGGCCGGAAGCAGCAGCGGCGATGGCAAAGTCAGCTTCTACCCTGAGCCGTACCCGCTGATGTATGGGCACCAGCTGCTGGCTGCCTACCCCTACAATTTCACCCTGCCGGTGGCTTTGAACATGGTCATTCCGAACGACAGTGGGCAGCCCTTGCCCTTCCTGCCCAACGTCTTCAGCTATTCGATGAACCCTTGCCGGGGCGTGGTGGGGCATGAGGGGCCGCCCGCCGCCCATGGGGGCCTGGGGATGGGCGGCTCGGCTCGCGAGAGCCGCGGAGAGCCAGCGGTGCCCGAGAGGCTGAAGAAAGGCGGGCTTCTTTGAGGGACAGGGCAGGCAAGGGGCACCCGGATTACGGGGGCACGGAAGAAAGGCAAGGCGGAGGAGTGGCCGGCCTCCGCCCCTCTTCGGTTCTGAGAAGGTAGGGGGCATGCTTAGGAGGACCGTTGTGGGGGTGGGTGGGTGAGTGCGGAGGGGCCCCCCCTAAACTGGGGGGGGACAGGTAGAAGAGAACCAGCCCCACAACCCCTTCCTATCAGGGGCATTTCGCATGGGACACGTTGTCGTAGAGAAGACTTCTTTAAAAAAAATAAAAATAGCAAAAATAGGTACAGGGTACCCTCTTCCCTCCCTCTTTCCTGCCCACCCACTCCCACCCACGCCCGGTTCCTAAACACCCCCCCCCCCTATGAATGTTGTTTGTAGACACAAATAAGAGTGAATTTGCACAAGGAACCGCTCTTCACCCCTCTTGACTCAACGCCTCCCCAACCCCAGGGCGATTTCCAGCCTGTTTTCTTCCGGCTCCTGATCCCTTCTCGCCCCCCCCCTCTGTACTTTTGCTGCTGGGGGGTGGATGGGGAGAAGAGGGGTGGTGGTCTGACTCTTTAATGTAGCTCCTCCCCTCCCTGCGTCGGGGGTGTGCCTGCAGACCCCCCTCCTCTTTCCTCCTCCTTCCCACAAACCGTCTGAGGGTCCCTTTCCTCCTCTTCTCCCCTCCTTTCCCCCCATCAGGCCTTGCTCCCTTCCTCACCCCTCTGTTCTTGGGGTGTCTAAAGACTCTACCCCCTGCTATCGGAATGTCCTTCCTCCGCAGACCCTCTTTTTTCCTCTTCCCCCTTCCCACTTATTGGGGCGGCCTTCCTCTCCCTTCTCTTCCCCTGATCTTCCTTCGGCCCAGCCCGTGTGTATGTGCGTGTGTGCGCCCTCGCTCTCCGTGCATAAGATTTGTTTTCCAACTGGCTGGATGTGATGAATCACATTTTCCTTTTTGGGCAGAGGAAGACAGCCATGGGATGTAGGGAGGAGTTGCGGGGTGCAAGCCAGCCAGAGAGGAACGGAATGGTGGAAGGACCAACCGAGTTGCGTCGCACCACAACGTCCCCCAGCCCAGCACCCTGTTGGGGGACCCCAGCGGAGGAGGGGGGGGGTATTCTTAAATTTGGGTGCCCAGCAGCAAAACCCCTTCCTCTCCTCCCATTCCCCAAACTCCTCCCTTCCCCCAACCCACCCACTCCCCAGTATAAACGACCAAGGATCAGCAATAGGTAATTTCAGCTATACATGTAACTAGTGTTCTCTCTCGTTTTTTCGTTTTCAAAAGTAGCGTTACGTTTTTTTTGTTTTTGTTTTTTCAAAATGGGTGGCCTAGTTTCAAACAATAATAACTTTAACGGGGGGCGGATCTCCCCGAGGAAAAAGCCTGCAAAATGTGGTGTGTGGAGGGCAGGAGGCTGGAACGGTGGGTTCCAAGCAGAGAGGGACAGATTAAAGATGGTTTGTCGTGGACCAATGAAGTGCGCGCCGCGAAAAACTCTGCAGCGCAGACGCTCCCCCCCCGAGAGTTGAATCTCCCCCCCCCAAAATGAGCACCTCCCTCCTTTTCTTCCTTTGCTAGCCTCTCCCCTCAAAAATATTTTTTTGGGGGAAATGTATTGCATTCCAGGGAAAAGGGAAAAAAAAAATAAGAAGTAAAGGAACGCTGCACAATTTGGAGGAGGAAGGAAATAATTTTTTTTAACGGGCAAAATAAGCGGCGTTTTCCTGTTTGAAAGCCGAATGCTTAAGCCCGGTGAAATTTTTCCAACTCTTCCTTCCTTCCCGATTCCGAACATTAAAAAACGTGGACTGATTTTGATCGGGGAGGTTTTCCCCAAAAGGACCCCCCCCCCAAAAAAAACAACCCATGGCACATTTTGATTTTGCGATTATTTATGGAAGGAAGAATCACACACACAGCGTTCTTAGATTCAACTCTCCCCGTTTGTTCTCCCTGTAAAATTCCTGCCCCCACCCCTTTTTTTTGTCTCTTTTAGGAAGATGGAGGAGGGGAATATCCAGAACGCTGCCAAAGGCCCTGCTGCCTGGTGAAGTATGGGAGTTCCCAATCCTGGCCTAAAAACATTGCAGCTCCTTTCGCGGCAGTTTAACCATCTTCCAAATTTAACTTTTTCGTGTGTTCCCTCCCCTTCCTGCCCCGCTGCAGGGAAGTGTCTGGATGACCTCCCCTCCTCCCATTTTTTTTCCTGGCTCTGCCGTTGCCGCCGCAGCATTTGCAGGCATCGCGATGATGTACCTTCCCATCGTTTGTGGAGTGGCAAGACCTGCGTGACCGTTCTTTCCAACCTTGTGAAAGTTTCCCCCCCCCCAAGCTAAGCCTGGGAGGGGGGCATTGCTACTCCTCTTTGGCGTAGTGGGGAAACCTTTCCAGGTAAACCAGGTTCCCTCCCCCCCCTCTGCACCTCTGGTTGTGATTCATAGGTCCGCCGCGAAGTTCCCTGGACAGTACACTGTGTAGAATTCCCAGTGTAGAATCAAGCAGGGGAGTTGAGGTTCAGGTACCTTTGAACCCTGTTCCACCTGCAGAATTGGGAGCCGAGGTGCTGGGGGCGGGGTCACACCTGCCCTCCCCCTCCCTTCTGCACAGGGACTGGCTCCAGGGACCTCGTAGACATGCCATGGGGAGGGGGGAAAAAACCCCTTTCCCACGTGAGAGATGATACTGGTTCCCCGACATTGCTTTGCGGCACTCTGGCACGGCAGAATTGGCGTGCACACGTAGAGGATGCATTGCAGCACACCGCACCGCGCACATTTCTGCCCACCCTTTCCTTCCCACCCCACCCCACAAACACAAAGGACCTGTGGCCCCCTCCCCTGTTTTTTTTTTTCTGCCGTGATGCGTCTTCTTCCCACCCTCCTCCTGTCCACCGCTCGCCTTGCCAGCCCTTCGTGACATCCGTTGAGGCGGGATTTTTCTCACGCACATTCATTTCCTGTCCGGCAGGCGCACAGCTCCTTCTGCACTCGGCCCCTTCCCCCCCCCCCCCCCCCCCCCCCCCCCGCCTGCTACCCAGGGCTGAACATGTCAGTGTACTACTTGCCCTTCTCCAAACTTCTCCTGGGATTTATTTTTAAATTTTGGGGTTGCGGGGAGTCTAGTCCGGGGCCTAATGCCGGCTTGCAGGCCTTGCGCGCAGAGGCCTCCCACCAGCTAGGTTACAGCACACACTGCTGTTCTTTGTGGGGGTGGGGGGGAGAAGGGTCCTTTCCCTCTAACCCAGGGGTCTGCAACCCACAGGTCTGGAGCCACTGCTGCTGCTCTTCGTCCTCCTCCTCCTCCTCCTCTTCTTCTTCTTCTTCCTCTTCTTCTTCTTCTTCTTCTTCTTCTTCTTCTTCTTCTTCTTCTTCTTCTTCTTCTTCTTCTTCTTCTTCCTCTTCTTCTCCTTTTTCCTCCTCCCCCTCCCCTTCTCCTTCTTCCTCTTCCTCCTCTTCTTCCTCTTCCTCCCTCTCCCGCTCCCTTCCTTCTTCCTCCTCCTCTCCCTCCTCCTCCTCTCCCTCCTCCTCCTCCTCCTCAGCCTCTTGGTGGTGCAGTGGTTAGAATGCAGTATTCCAAGCTACTCCTACTGCAGTTTGGCAGATCGAATCCCACCAGGTTCCAGGTAGATTCAGCCTTCCATCCTGCGGGTAAAATTGGATCCAGATTATGGGGGGGGGGGGGGGGAGAGGGCTGGCTCCGTAAACCGCTTAGAGAGGGCTGTAAAGCACTGTGAAACGGTATATAAGTCTAAGCGCTGTTGCTGTTCTTCCTCTTCTTCTTCTTCTTCTCCTTCTCCTTCTTCCGGGGCCTCTGTTGTGCCTCCCTGTCGGCGGATCCCACCACTGGCTGGTCCCTCCCCTTCCTGTCACACCTCACCTGGCCTGAGAAGGTAAGGGTGACGCTGGGAGACATGAAGACTCCCGCTCCATATTCCAGAGCACGAGAGTTGACCGGGGTGGGAGAGAGTCACGCCAGGGGTTAAATTTATCGGGCTCCCTGGTGTTTTCGGTGGGGGGGGGAAACGGGTCCAAATGGCTCTTTTGAGGGTTTAAGGTTGCAGACCCCCCCCCAACCAGCCCCCCCCCCCCCGGTGAGTTTTTGAGTGGGGAGGGGGCGCTTGCATTTCCAGCAGTGCACCCCTTGATCGCATCCAGAGGTGGGAGGGCAAGGGAGGTTGGGCCGGGCGGAGCAAGAACACGCACCAAAGGTATATTTGGGGTGGTTTTTTCCTCCCCCACCCCAACACCCCCCAAGCAGGAGGCTCTGGGTTCTTTTTTGGGGGGGGGGAGAACATTGGGGGCAGAAGGGGGAAAGTCGCTGACATGTACATAGTGGCCGATCTTTTGCACTTTGTCACTGGGGGGGGGGGCGCGTACGCGGAGGGGTGCGCTCCGGTGATTGTTGACCGTTTGCTACTGAATGTAACTCGTTTTTATTTTCCTTATTTTTTTTTTTTAGAAAAGCACCTCTAGCTAGTTTTTACGGCACTTTAGATATTTACTGAAATCTGTTTAAGGAAACTACAGAAAAGCAAAAAAAAAAATAAAAAAATAAAAGGGAGAGAGAGAGGAAAACAATAGCAGGGGGGAGAGCGAGAGAGCGAGAGAAAGTCGTTTCAAAATCACGTCGGTCATTAGTCACGAGGACAAATCATCGTGGGTTTTGTTTCGTTTTTTTTTTTTTTTCCCTGCCGCTTTTTCCCCCCCGGTCTCTGTTCCCAAAAAAATTGTGACAAGTGTAAGGAAATTCCTTTTAGACAATTACTGTATTTATCTTTCTGCATCTTTGTGTGTAACTCCAATAACTTCTTCAAAATAAAATGACCATTATAACGTTGATGGTGGCGCGCCCTTTGGAAGCGCGCCTGCTGTGTTTTTTTTTTCGTTTTTTCTTTCTGCGTTAGCCACCGTCCTGGGCTGGGAGACAAAAAGAGACAGAATGGGTGGGAGGGCTACGACCACAAACCCACGGGCTGCAGGGAGTGGGGTTTGTGGAAAGCAGGGTGGGGGAGGAGGAGGAAGAGGAGAAGATAAAGGCCGTGGGGTCCTCGGTGCGGCTCTGGGCCTGGTGGTTTCGGTGCAGCGGTTTCGTGACCCAATTAGAGGACATCATCCGGGCTGGTTAACCCCGGTCTTCCTTCTAGCCTTGATGACGTCCCCTAGTTGGGTCACGAAACGCCTGCAAGGAAACCAAGTTCGGAGACCGACAAGGACCCCACAGTCAGTTGTCCTCCTCTGCAAACCCCGCTCTCTTCTAGCCCTGATGACGTTCCCTAGTTGGGTCAAGAAACGTCTGGAAGGAAATAAAGCTCAGGAGCCCACCAAGGACCCCTCAGCCCTGCACCTCCTCTTCCTCTCCACAACCCTTCCTCCCTTCTAGCACTGATGGTGTTACCTAGTTGGGTAAAGAAACGTCTGTAGGGAACCAACCAAGCTCAGAAACCACCAAGGACCCCTCAGCTTCCTCCTCCTCCCTGCAACCCTTCTCCCTTCTAGCACTGATGATGCACTCCTCTTCCTCCTCCTTTCCACAAACCCTCCTTCTAGCTGCTCTTCCTCCTCTTCTTCTTCTTCCTCCTCCCCTCCCGCACAAACCTTCCCTTCTAGCACTGACGGTGTTCTCTAATTGGGTCATCAAACGTCTGCAAGAAAATAACCCAGTTCAGGGAACATCAAGGATCCCTCAGTCCCTTTCTTCCTCCTCTCCTCCTCTTCCCCCTTCTCCTCCTCCTCCTCCTTTCCACAAACCCTTCTTGCCCTTGACGATGTTCCCTAGTTGGGTCATGAAACGTCTGCAAGAAAACCACTCAGCTCAGACAGCCCCCAGGACTCCAGAGTACAAAAACAGAAGTACAGCCTCAAACGCACCTTACGTATCGTTTGCAAAGTCTTCCCATCCTCTCCGGAACTGCAAATCCAATTCATCAGCAAATCCAAACGTCAAGAGTTCATTTTTCTCTCACTGTTGTTAAATTAATGGTCATGTTGGTGGTGGTGGTGGGGGGGAAGCAGCAGGGGAGTGGGCTTAAGTTCCCCCCCCCCCATCTACCCTCAATGCCCCAAGACGCCGCTTTGTCCCCTTTTCATCTGGCCAGAGGAGTTTGTTTCCAAGGGGAAAAAAGAAACACACACACCTCTAGTAAACCTGCTTGTATTGGGGGGATTGCAAGAAAAGAGCCTCCCCCCCACTCAAGATGCTGGCTACCCAGTTCTGTGTACCCCGAAGGGGAATATTTGGGGGGGGGCAGAGGGGAAAATGGGGTTTGTTTCCACTTTTATGAGTGAAAAGGGGTGTGTGTGGGCCTTGTAGCCAGAGCAGTTGCAAATCACACACTTTGAGGGAAAAAAGCCTTTTCTATAGGTCAGAAGCTTAAAAGGGATTGGCGTGAATCTCCACTTTGTACATTTGGGGTAGGATTAAAAGGTGTGGCAGCCCCCCACGAAACCTGGCCAAGAACCATGGGTCTGTTAGTCCTTTCTCCAAGAAACCCCATTTTATTCACGGGTGTTTCTCAACCTTGGAACTGGAAGAGGAGTGGACTTCAACTCCCAGAATTCCCCCAGCCAGCACAGAATTCTGGGAATGGACGTCCACCCCTCTTCCCAATCAGGATAGAGCGGGGGCGGGACCTTGGAGGTCGTCTAGTCCAGCCCTCCGCTCAAGCAGGAAACTTTCCCATTTCAGACAAGCGGCAATCCGGTTTCTTCTTTAAAAACTTCCAGATGATGAACAGCTTCTGGTGGCGAGCAGTTCCCCAGGGTTAATTGTCCTCCCTGTTAGGAAATTTTCTCCTTAATTTCAGGTTGCTTCTATCCTTGGTTAGTTTCCATCCGTTGTTTCTTGTCCTTCATTTAGGGATTTTGGAAAATAAGTTGACCCCACTCTACTTCGGGGCAGCCCCTTAATTACTGGAATACTCCTATCATGCCCCTCTTACTCCTTCTTTCTCAAATCCTGCAACCCTTCTTCGTAATGTTTTAGTCTCAGGGCCTTTGCTCCTTTTAGTTGCACTTTTCCCCCAAAAGTCTCAACATCTGTTTTGGAACGTGGTGAGCAAAACTCGACCCAATCGCCCGATCTTACTAAGGCTTTACACAGCAGTAGTAATCCTTCACGTGGTTTTGATCCTCTGCCTCTGTTTATACAACCACAGAATCGCATTGGCTTTTCTTGGCGGCGGCTGCAGCACACGGCTGACTCATATTTAAGGCATCGTCCGCTAGGACGCCAAAGTCCGTTTCTCCATTAACTGTTTTCGAGGCAGGTTTCCAGCTGCTAAGGTTGAGTTAACCCGGCCCTCCCTACCTGTCCCTTCCATCTTTCAATGCACAAACACAAAATAAACTGCACCAAACTTGATGGCAGGAAATACGACTTAAGCCACCCACCGAGTGGTCAATGTCTGGAATCCTCTACCTGACTCTGTGGTTTCTTCCCCAAACCCCAAAAACTTTTAACCTGAGACTGTCTACTACTATTGACCTCACCCCTTTCCTAAGAGGTCTGTCGGGGGCGTGCATAAGCGCATCTGTCGGGGGCGTGCATAAGCGCACCAACGTGCCCACCGTCCCTGTCCTATTGTTTCTTTTATTTTTCTTATATGTATCCGTGTATTCATAACTATATTTTTACTTATACCTAT